CTGGTCCTGTCTCTTATACACATCTAGATGTGTATAAGAGACAGCAACTAAGCTAGGCCCATGGGTCAAATGAAGTCTTTTCCCCCCCCCCCCCTCCTCCCCCCCCTCCCTACCTGTACATCTATCCATTGAATTCCATTCACACCTACTTCCCAAACATTCCTAAACATCGAACTTTTTCCTAAGTCTATCTTTGAGTGGAACCGAACCAACAAAATGTCCTAAGTCCATTGTCCATTTCCCCCAAAATCAAGGTAACCCTCAGCCAAAAGTCGTTCGTATTGCAATTCTACACAAAAGACTTTTTTTTTGCAATGTTTTGATTTCTATTTTTTTCTGCAATGTTTTGATTTTTTTTTTTTTTTTTTTTTTTTGCTCTGGGACTGCATGTGACCCTGCCTGGGGTTCATGCGAAGCCGGGCACCCGGGCTTGTGTCCAGGCACAAGTTAGGTGCCAGGGGGGGCGGCAAAAAAGCCTACCTTCTTCCCCCGAATACAACGTTCGGTCATTATAGCTGTATCTAGACTGAAAGATACCTCAAATACAGCTATAATGACCGAACATTGTATTCGGGGGAAGAAGGTAGTGCATTATTGCAGCACACCTTTTTTTTGTGTGACCCTCAGGCAAAAGTTCATAAATATTCAATCCAATACAGGGTTGCATACCTGCCGACCGCTGACCCTGACCACCGACCATTTTGCAGCCGACCAGTAGGGCTGACCGGACGGCGGTCTGCCGACCAGTCAGAAAACAGCCATCCACTGTTTTTTTTTCAACTCTGAATTGGAAGCTGTACTGCGCTCTGCGCTTGCTGAGTACAGCCAAATCCACTGGGAAACTTTTCGGGATGGGGGGGGGGGGGGGGGTGGCAGGGGGAGGGGGGTCGTATAGGGTGGTATAGACTGGTATAGGGGTGGTATAGGGGGTATTGGGGGGCTCATGAGGGTGTTGGGGAAGGGTTTGAGGGTATTGGCGGGGTGTATGGGGTTATTGGGGCCGGTTATGAGGGTGTTGGTGGGGTTATTGGAGGTTCTGGACCCAAACAAAACTTTTTTTTTTTTTTTTTTTTGCGAGGTGCCGACGAACTCCAACCTGTGGGTGCCGACCAGCCGACCGGTCGGCGGGTCGGCAGCCGACCAGTCAAGGGCTGCAGACCGTCGGCATGTGCAACACTGATTCAATAAATATTAAATATTCAATTTCTACACAACGTAGTTGTTTTCTTTTAACCTTCTTTTTCCAGCACTTTTTATTTATAAAATTCTTTTCATTTGATGTTGTCTCTCTCTGCTGTTCTCTATTTTCTCGTGAGACTAAAAATTCGACGATATCCACAAATGCGTATCGTGCATGTCCCTGAGATCGTGGCAGAGTATGAACGAAGACTGGGAAATTTCCCTTCAGTTTCCATTCATAACTGCAGCAATACACATATGTCTGAGACTAAAAATTTGACGGTATCCACACATGTGTATCGTGCATGTCCCTGCATGCTGCAGTTATGTGTATCGTGCATGTAAGGTCAGACTCGTGCGTCTTCCACATCTTCCATATCTTGCGTCTAAAGCTTTCATAATATAATATCCAAGTTCGAAACTGGGAAATTCCGCTAGCGCACCTCTATTGATACCGGAGAAAGAGGTAGGCTAGCCAAGCTGTATATATATAGTCAAACAGAGCTGCCCGGTAAACCGTAGGCAGAGAGGGAGAAGAGGACAACAAACGAGGGGCTGTGGCAAACTGTTTCATTGGAGTTTCACCGACTCATCAGGAGGCTGAACCCTCAACAGTCTGCTGAATCCCCTAACTGATTACACTGTAAATGATAATCCACCTTAACCCCGGCTGTGGTTAAGCATCAACGACTGCCTGACAACTGATACCCTGAGGTGGGCACCAACCACTGCCCTCAAGGTACCTGTGGCAAAAGTCAAAGCAGACTATCACTGCATATATCGTCACAAACAGAACTGCCCGGTAAACCTTAGGCAGAGAGAGAGAAGAGGACAACAAACGAGGGGCTGTGGCAAACTGTTTCGCATATATATCGTCAAATAGAATATATATACAGGGTAACCGGCGTTCGGGACGGGCCGAACGCCCGAACCCGAACGCCCGAACGTATGGGACCCCTTGGGGATGCGTTCGGTCGTTCGGGCCAAACGCGGACCCAAAAAAAAAAATAATAATAATAATAATAATAATAAATAAAAAAAATCAAAACAATCTGAAAAAAAGAGATGTTATGAAGAAAAATAAATTAAACAAGATTTGCCTGAGCACTACATCCAAATTCCTTACCAAATTTGAAATAAAAATAGAATACGGAGAAAAAATACTAATAATAAAAATAACAAAAAATAAAAAAAGAATTAAATTTACTGAGTGCGCGACCACTTTTACGACACCGCCATCTTTGGCAATTTTTCATTTTATTTTTTTTGCATAGCTAAATGCCCTGAAAATTTTCAGATGTGTACTTCACATCATGCAAAACCCACTAAAAAATTTTCAAAAAATAATAAAATTGTTAAGAACCCGAACTAAAGTGAAAACAAAAAGTAAAAAGTGAAAAAAAACGTGGGCGAGCACGTTTTGACACCGCCATCTTTGCCGATTTTTAATTCCTATTTGGCTGAGTCAAATGACTTGAAAATTTATAGACAGGTACCTCACGTCATAGAGAACTCACAAAAAAAAATTCAGAAAAAAATATATATTTTTAGGCCCCGAAATATTTTTTGGCGGGGGCCGAACGCCGCCAGGTTCGGACCCCGTACGGGACCCCGAACACCCGTACGTACGGAGGTCGGCCCGGGGACCTCCGTACGTACGGGCTGGTGACCCTGTATATATAKATATATATMGTCAAATAGATATATATATATATATATATGTGTGTGTGTGTGTGTGTGCGTGTGTGTTGGATAGGAACAGGATTCTCTAATAAGCCCCACTTAATTTGAGACTTGGCAAAATAAGGATTTATGTAATACTTAGCACCCCTCCTGGGTGTCCTCCCTGGCCGCGCAGATGGGCGTGTGTCGGCACAGAAAATTTGTGCTTTGGCGCACAAAAAAAAAGAGCCTAAATAGTACCTTTATTTTGGCGTGAATGCACAAATCTCGGTTTGTGTCACAATTCACTGCGCCAACCTGCAAAGAGAAACACACACAAGAAAAATTAACACACGAGAAGAATTTTACGGGAACACTCCAGGCAGGTCCCGGCCTTCCCTTCTTTTGTGCAATAAATGCACCGCTTGTTTTTTCTTGAAACAAAAAGGGAAAAAAAAAAGACGGGGGAAAAAGAAAGAAAGGAAAAGGGGACAAAAGAAGTGGGGAGCAACTGGTCAGCCATACCACCATAAACAAGCCAGAGGAGTGACTGCAAGGATTATGAGAAGGAGCGATAGACAGAAAACCAGGTTGCAAAATCACAAAGTAGCTCAGATAGTCGTGTACCAAGAACAGAGCACAATGCACAAAGATACCATGCAAATAAGAGCAATACAATGAACTCTTGTGTCAATGTCGCCACACTCTGGTCACACCAACACAGTATCCACTGTTCTTCCTCCTGCCTGGCGCTTCGCGCCCAGCCTACTCCACTCAGCCTAACTATCCTATCTACGTTCTTGCAGCCAGATCACATCGCAGTTGAAGACCAATGTACGTTGACGTCATCGCCAATGCCGATGGCCAGCATACACCAGGTACGTGCTCTCTCCTTCCCTCATCACACCTCGCCTCCCCACTTCTGCATGCGCCTCCTACCCGAAGACCACCATCACCAACACCTGCACCAGCACGCTCGGCCCGGCTATGGCCACCGTGAGCCCACTGCCACCACAGTGCCCTCTTCACCACTTAGCGCCCGCAAGAGCCCTAGCCTGCCTGCATAGCGCAGCTTCGTACGACAATGCAGCAGCGTGGCCGCAATGCCTGCACAGGTCAGCATGCCCCTCCCTGGGGCACACACTTTCCTTTATGGAAAGTGTGCCCGCTGCTGGCTGGCCTGGCCAGGCGTGTGGGGGGGGCAGTAGCTTGCTGCTGGCCCCAAGTGTCTGCGCCCAGGCCCAGTTTCAGATACTGGCCTGGGCCTCGTGCAGTTAGGCCCGTTCAGGCAGCCACCCAGCCTCCAAGTGTTCACAGCATTCACATTGGCTCCCGACTCATGCGTGACAACAATGCTGCTCTCTCATTGGCCCACGGCCAGTCCGTGATGTGTCGGCCTTACAGAGCGTGTGCCCAGGGCGCAACCACCTGAGCCGTAGGCTCAACTGTACAGCGCAGCCCTTGCTTTTGGAAAGAGCCTGGAGGCTCATGTTGCTCTGTAACCAACTGGCAAGCTGCAACTGTCTGATATGCTCGACAGCCTGCTGCAACAGTTTCTCATACTGGACTCCAAATTCAATGGTTCCAGGAGTCGCCGTCAGTCGGTTTTCAGGTAGGAGGAAGTCTAATGCAGATGTAGACTTCCACCCCAAATGCAGTTGATTGGGACTGACGCCGGGTGCTATGCACAGCATTATTGTACAACCTGGCGATGAGAGGAAGTTTCTCATCCCAGTCATCCTGGCTGGGCTTGATGTAATGCCTCAGCAGATGCTGCACCACGCGGTTTATCTGTTCCGCTTGGCCATTTGCTTCAGGATGATCCCCCGAAGTCATTTGGAGTTGACCGCCCATCTGTTCAGCAGCCTTCTTCCACATTTCACTCGTGAATCTGACATCTTTGTCATTGACAATGGTTTTGGGCAGTCCAAAGTCACACACCCAGTTATCCATTAATAACTTGATGACGTCCTCTGTTTTCGCTGTCTCCGGCATGGGAATTACTCTGTCCCGGACCAGTAGGAATATGTGCCTTTTGCCACTCTTGCTGGTCACGAGGGTATCCATGAAGTTCATGGAGACACTCTGTCCCGGACCAGTAGGAATGGGCAACGGCTTCAATAACCCAAGCGGAGCTTGAGTTCGCGGTTTGTCCCGCTGACAGACTTGACAAGTCTGTACGTACTTCTTTACATCATCAACCATATTAGGCCACCAGAAACGCTGCACTAAATTAGCACTAGTCTTCTTATAGCCGAAGTGACCGGTTGCGTCATGACACCCTCCTAAAAACAAACTACGAAGAATCTCTCTAGAGGGAAAACACAACCTTTTAAAACCTGCCTTTTCAAGAAATAGTAAACCGTCCACCAGCACAAACTTGTCAGATGTGGCCTTGTCTTGGGCCTCAAGTTTGCGTATGATCTCCATCATGACGGAGTCTTCCTTGTAGGCTTCCACCAAAGATCGAGTTACATCATCGGATAAGACAAACTCACTGATCAGCACACCTAGGTAGTCTGCCCTACGCAATCTACCTTGAAGTCACATTGGTCTATGACTTCAATCCAGCGTTTGAGTGCGTCAGAGAGGACAGGTTGTGTCTTGATCCACTTGAGTAGCTGATGGTCAGTTCTCAAGTAAAAGAACCTACCAAGCAGATAGTGTCCCCAGTGGACAAGTACTTTCTAGAGGGCATAGAGTTCCCTTTCATAGGACTTTGCCAACTTCTTTGATGGCATCTTCTTGTTCATGTACTCGATCGGCCTCAATGTTTTCCCTTCCTGCTGGGCCAGCACTGCGCCAATGCCATATTGGCTTGCGTCAGTGGTCACAACGAATGGCCTCTTCGGATCGGGGACCATGAGAATCTCGTGATGTGTGAGGGCGTACTTCAATCTTCTGAAAGCAGCCTCACACACTTTTGTCCATTCCCATGGTGTGTCAAGGCATGTTAGATCAGTCAGAGGGGAGGCCACCGTACTATAATTCTTTATGAAATTGCGGTTGTAGCAACACATCGCTAAGAATGATATGACCTCAGTCACAAACTGGGGTCGTAGCCAGTCACGAATGCTAGCCACCTTCGCATCTTTGGGCCTAATCCCTTCCACGAATATCTCATGACCCAAGTACAAGATTCTAGTGCGACCAAAGTGGCATTTCTCTAAGTTTATCTTATAGTTGTGTTGTCGCAAGAGTGAAAGTGTAGTTTCTACATGTTGGGCATGCTCCTCGATAATCCTACTGAGGATAAGTATATCGCCAAGGTACACGACGATGAAATTATCCAAGTAGTCATGAAACACCCTCGGTTGGAGCCATCCTTTGGAGTTTTAGTCCCTGGGATTACCTTTATGGCGTGGACAATCTCCCTGTCTATGACTCCCGAAGGCTCCTCAAACAGATCGGGGTACTTAGCAACAACGGTGTTTTAATGGCCTCCCCTTTCTCAAAGACAAAAACTAAGTACATACCCTCCTCTTGGTTTTGTTTGTAGTAATTATAGAATGCATTGATAGACATACACCAATTGGAGTCAACTAACCTACTAGCTTTATACTTAGGTAGTCTAACGGTTCTCCCATCAGGTAACACATGCCTAAACCACCAGTTCACACGAAGCTAAATTGACAAACCAAAAGTTGCACGTTTCCAAGCCTGACTGCTACAGTAATAGGCTGAAAAGAAAAATCTCGGGGTACTGGTACCAGCCTACCATGAAACTCGAGTGTTGTACCTCATGCCAGCAGATAGCATGGAAAAGACAAGCGGGAAAAAAAAAAAAAAAAAAAAAAACTAAATCCAGATCAATGATGAACAAAGGGCGTTGCCGTTTCATGAAAGAAACAGAAAAGAGATGTTGGGGAAGCCATCTGACCTAGGGCATACTCACAATAGTACTGTCCAAATTTTATCCGACCACTATCACGGCCAAATCATTGTTTTTTTCTTTCTTTGTTTGTTTCCTTCTTGTTTCCTCTAGTGCCCTGCCAGCGAGGCAGGGCGTATTCCACCTTCTCGGGAAAGGCCCTCACTGAGGGCATACTCACACTACTACTTTTCAGAATGTATCTGACCGTTATCAGGTCCTTTTTTTTTGTTTTTGTTTTTTCTATTTACACTCTTGGGAATGCCCTCACTCGGGGCATATTCACACTACTACTTTCCAGAATGTATCAGATGGATACTACGTCCAAATCCGTCTTCGTTTTCTTCTTTTTTGTTCTGGTTTTCTAAGACTAGTGCCCTGCCAACAAGGCGGGACATCTGAGTAAATAGTGCAGTCTCGGTTTCTCATTTGTTCTCCTTTTTTTTTTCCCAATTTCGCTTTAAATCTATCTTTTTCGGGCCCACCAGCCTTTTCCCTCTGAACCTGCGCCATGCGGGATCACTGTTCATCTTGCCACGCTCGCAGTGTACTGTGTTCTGGTGAATAGTAGGGGTCTGTGAACTGGTGGTTTAAGCACTTTTCGGTCCCAGTCAAATTAGGGCTTGGCAACCTCAAGGTAGTACATACCAAACAACATGCCGAAAGACAAGTCGTCGCTAATTAGGAACGAAATCTGGTGATTAAGTTCCCCACCTCCATAAGAGAAAATGCATACCATATCCTTGACGTAGTCCTTGACTAACATGCGCTCTTTGTTGGCTAGAGTAGATGCTACAGGTTTTCTCAAGCGCCACACCCGGTCCCCTAGGCATAGTCTCTCAACGCAGTCACGACTTATGAAGTTTCGTGTAGAGCCAATGTCTATGAAGGCACCACACTTGTGGCCACCTACACTGACTTCTAAAACGAAATGTTCCCCTTTAGGACCCTTCGACAATGCCACCCAAAACTCGCGAGGGTCCATTGCCGACCACTCGGTTTCGAAGTTGTCTAAGGCTTCAAAAACATCCAACGAACAGAGTGTCATTTGGTCCAGATGGGTCTACAGGGTGACTAAAGAGTCAATCGCTTCGGCCAACTCCTGGAGTGGTGAAGGTACACCAACCACTTCAGCATGAGTAGATGTGTTTCCCTGGGTGGCGCTCGTAGAAGCACCACTTTGGGTGATAGATCCCCCAAAACCACCTTTGGGCGCAATCTTTTGTGAAACGTCCACATTCTAGCACTTAAACTGTTGGTGGCCATACTCGCCGCAATTAATGCAAGCCCCTTGCGAATATCGGTCCCTACACACATCTTGATCTAGGCCAGCCCTTGCCCAAGCTAGAGTCTTGTTTGAGTTTTGTCCCCCCCCTGACTCTTTTGTTGACCGCCCTTCCCGCGGCCAACTGCCTTTCCTTTAGTTATGGCGGCGAGGTTGCTACCCTTTGCACTATCACCGCTGCCTATCTTTGTCTCCTTCACAAGTTCAGAGAGGTCGTCGATCTCGGTTTGATTCCCATAAAAATCAACCTTCATCAAACGACTTCCCTTCTTCTTCCACTCTTGTGGAGTCTTCTTTCTTCCATCCACAGCTACCTGTTGAGCCCCTCCCAACCTTGCCTCTAAGTCTAAGGCCTCGTTGCTGAAAGAATCGAGGGTGTGATACTCAGTATATCTATCCCGACCTTGCCTCTACATCATCCAAGATCAAATCATTTATTCCTTCTAGTGCAGCCTTATCTGCCTCTCTGCTCTCCAATCTAGCCTTACGATTGCTAAAAAGATTGTTCTTTTAGTAGCATTCTTAGTTGTTTCTCTAGCTGTAAGCATAGTAACTCTACTTGCTGGAGTTCTAACTCCTCTCTAGTGGGTGGCTGTGGGTGGCTGTACTGCGAGCCTGCCATCTGAATGGTGGAGGGTCCTGCCCTAGTCCCACAGGATGAGACGAAGGACATAGCGCAGGTTCCTGAGGTCTGCTGACCTTCAGAGGTCGCTGCAGATGTAGCCATTGCTACTGCGCTAGCTGCTGCTGCCGCTGACACTTGTTCTGCAGCTGCTTCTGCCTCCCTAGCGGTCTGCAAACGTCGGGCCTTTGCTTCGGCCCGGAACCTTCTTGAAACACTAGCGGAATCCTACGTGTATCCCGCCGTGTTTGCGTCCTATTATCAGCTACCCCTTCCCCACTATCTGTACCGCTCATCAGCTAGGCAGATCACTATCTGCACTAGTGCCCTCACTGGGGCCTACCACAGTATGTGTCTGTCTGAGTTGTAGAATATAATAAAGTAAATAAATATTAGGCAAGTCAACCAGCCTACCGACCAAGTGGTGTCAACAGCATTTACAAAAAAGTTGAAAAAACTGAGCAAACTACTTCGATTAGTTCTCTTACTGCAGCAACCAATCAGAGCTGGCTATGGTAGACTAGTTGTCTGTCACCTCAACTAATCCAAAATAAAAATACATCACTTGCGCAGATGTATGCAGAAATGGGAATAATATGTGTTTGTGTATGAGCTCCTATTGGAACCTTCCTTTCCCCTGTATCCAACCATCCTGACTGCATCATGAAGCAGCAGTGTCTGTCGTGTGCACAACAGCCCAACCCTGTGCCCAAGAACCCACTTATGACCAGCACTGCTCATTATTTATCCTCGCATGCAACGAGCCTTACATCCGACTGATCTGGCCGATGAAGAGGCAATTAAGGACAGCCCCCGAAGTCCTCAGGAATTATTTAACCGTTGCAGACAGGACGACAATCACACCCAGTATTCAGATCAGATCCTGCCAGAGATTCTTTATAGACAGTCTGGTTGAGATCTCGCATAGGACTGGTCAGTCCACGTTCCCTCTACAGTGCAGCAAGAGCTTAAAGGACAAAGCAGCAAAGCATGCGTGCTCTACTCCCATGGGTTGGCACGGTGACTGTGACCCGTGCTTGGACCAGGGCCCTTCAGAGGCACCGCCCTCTCCTTGCAGATGCACCGCCAGGAAGAATTTTGACTCTCAAGGTAGAGCACTCACGACTCCTGAACCAGAAGAGGACACTCAAGTTGGACTCACTTCCTCACGGTAAGAAGAGATTGAGATGGGAAGATAAGGTAAGGGAACAACGTACCTGAAGATAGCTTCCCCCAACCACAGATTTCTCACCAATTCAGCCGACATGCATTTTGACGACCGGTCTTAGCCTCGGTACCACACACAATGCAATGGAGTGCCACCTCAGCCAAAATGCCATGTCAGCATGCTCTCATCATCTCACATACATCCGCTGTCGCCACAGCTCCCACGCTGTCGCGACATTGCTATATTACTATCAATGCCTCGCGACCACACATAAATCAAAGGCTCTCATCACGTGCATTTTGGTGACCGGTCTTAGCCTCGGTACCACACACAATGCAATGGAGTGCCACCTCAGCCAAAATGCAATGGGTATCCGAAGACCCCAATGAAACCCCCGACTGTCTTCACAGGAGACAAGAAGGACGAGGCCCTCGACACCTGGTTGAGGACGGTTCCATTGTGGGTAAGGGCCCCTTCTTCTTTTTAAAAACAAATAGTAAAAAAAAAAAAAAAAAGGTCAACATACCTTCACAATGCCCTTCAAGCTATTAGCTACTTTAACAAATTCTGGGACCACCTGCAGCACCCACACACAAACACCCCCCCCAAAAAAAGGTACATTACTATACTATTAGTCTATTATGATATTATCAATATAATTTTTTTTTTTGAAAGGAGTCAAAAGAATGCCATGTGCTTTCATATGCAAAATCATCTCAACAACTCTTGGTGCGACCATCTTTTTCTTTTTCTCTTTAAAACAATAAAATAAAAAGCCCCAATCTATTCGTGGGAAGCCACAAGTTCTGGGACAGGAAATTGGCCCAAAAGTTTTATTCATTTTTCCGAAGGCCCCTGATTTCCGAACGAGATCATTAATGAAGGGACATTTCTGAAGCGGTGTCCTCTTTTCCCAGAAATATTAAAAAAGAAAAACTCACACTTCAGCTCCAAGCACTATTTCTTTTCCGTTTTTGTAAATTATTGCCTTTCTTCTGCCGTTCTGAGGGAATAGCCACAGTACAGTTGTTCCAGTGAAATGTGGCTGTCTACATCCAGGACGGTGCAACCCCCCCCCCCCCCCCCAGGACACTAATTCTTTTCGTTTGAAATATATCATTTGAGCTTGAAAGTTTTAACACACAATCACACAGATTTCATCATGAACTGACACTGCCTGAGAAACAGGAACCCACACAGAGAGAGAGAGGGAGAGAGAGAGAGAATGGAATTGAAGACGTCGACGACCTCGATCTCCATGTCCATTGAATGATTATAATTGAATGTATCCATTCTCTCTCTCTCTCTCTCTCTCTCTCTCTCTCTCTCTCTCTCTCTCTCTCTCTCTCTCTCTCTCTCTCTCTCACACACACACACACACACACACACATGTACACACATACAAACACACGCACCCAGCCCAGGCCAAGACGGTACGGACTAGAGAGAGAAATAGAGAGAGAGAGAGAGATCCACAGTTTCACAGGAGGGACGGCTGCAAAGTCCCAGCCAGAAGGAAGTGCCCAATGAATACTTCTTCGACTGCTGCTCTAGTTAAACCATAACAATTTCAGAAGTAGCAAAAAGCTGAGGGAAACACTCCACAAATTGTCCTTGATTCTTTGGTTCGACCAAAAAAAAAAAAAAAAAAGACGTTTCACTTCCGAAATGAAGATAATCTGCACTGCTCCGCGTGGTGGTGACTGCGTGGGTATACATCTAAGGAGAGACTACCTCCTTCCTCGGAAGAGTCGGAACAACACACCCCACCATCGCGAACATACGAACTTGGTCGTCTGGGTTGTCTACATTCATGATCACGGGACATCACACGCCGGGAAAGAATAACGAACCGCTTATCCCCTGCGTCAGGAAAACAGAAAAAAGAAAATAAAAAAAGAAGAAAAAGAGAAACTATTCTCAAAATTAAACAAACAACTCCCCCCCAAAAAAAGGGTACAGTGTACAGTGTCTCTATACCCACCTGTACACAAAGATGACAATCTGATTTGAAGTACTCCACCTGAAAATGGCCATTAGAGTCAGAGACAGGCAAAAATAAAAACAAAAAAAGAGTTAAATCATTAAATGGGTTCTGAATTTTACCATTTTCAAAATAATGAAATATCCATCAGGCCATACAAATCGAAATTGAGAGAGAAAAGACAAAACAACGAAAAAGCATAATCTTCCGAGTCTTCTTTCATTTTTTTTGGGGGGGGGTAATTTCAGTAAAGTCACAAAAATGAGATATAATTGCACTGTGGGGCAAGATACAGTTTGCAATTGCACTTCGGGCACCCTACCTGGCCAGAAAGCTGGGTTGTATACATTGCCCGAACTGCAATTTGAAACTATATCTTGGCCTGAAACGGTATTCACCAGTTCTTAGTAGCTGATGCAGATCCCAGGGTTCGATCCCTAGCCCCCACCTCACTTGTGTACAGTATCTGTGTCGACCCCTAGAGTTGAACCCGTGACCCGTGTATTTGTAACAGTGGTAGACTGTCGTAGGGTCCTGAGGTCGCAGGGGTTCTATCTGCAGACCTGTCGAGTAGGAGTCTTAGTCAGGTCTAGAAGTCGTAGCTGTAACTTTCCCAAAAGGTCAAGGTCGTAGCTGCTACAGTCCAGAGGGTCAAAGTCGTAGCTGCTACAGTCACAAAAGGCCAAGTCTACGGCCTTCCGGAAGGTCCCAGTAGTGGCCTTTCGAAGTTGCCCACGTTTAGACTGAGGCAAGTGGGCAAGTGGCGAGGCAAGTGGGCAAGTGGTGGAGTCTACCCATGCGGAGTCAGCAGTCCCAGTCCCCAGTCAGTCCTGGTCCAGTCAAGCAAGTACCGCATGGGACTGTGTGCGCTTCGGGCATGGGAAAGGGCCAGACCAACGAGCTGCAGATATAAATCAAGAGGCAGCGCCCAGCCATTCATTGATTCCTGCGTGAGCCATGCGGAAGCGCTGCCACAGCGACTTGTGCAAGGAGGTCTGCAGTGAGCCCGAAGACGAAGTGGGCAGAGAGACGAAGCTTAGCCATAGCGATAGGGTAGAGGCGGCCATAGCCGCCATAGCTGTAGCTCGAGTTCAGTGTGTGAGTGTGTGAGAGTGAACTGAGTATCGCGTGTGGGATATCCAGGGTGATCCAGAGTATGCGAACAGAGAGTTGTGTGTGGGCGCTGTGTCGCCATAGCCATTGGAAGAGAACTCGTATCTGGGTTGCCATATCTCTGAGTACTGGGTGGGCGCATGTCGCCAGTTTGCCGCGCTACTGTTTGCATGCATGTAAAGTGTGAATGAAAGTGAGTCTGATTTCAGGCCCCCGTAGTGCAATTATAAACTCATTTTTGTGACTCCCGCGTAGTTTCCCCTTTTTTTGGGGGGGTCTTAGCCATTACCTTTTTAATTTTTTGCCGCAGCTTTTCTTTTTTTTAACAATTTTCCCTCAGCCTTTCTTTTTTGTCACAGCCATCACCTGCGTTCGAGTCACTGTTTTTTTTTAATAAAAGATTTAAAAACGAAACGTCTGCGCTGTAACAACGTTGAGATATCTCTCAACCTCCTAACAGTACAGAGGTTACTTTTTTTTTTCTTTTTTAATTTTTTATTAACCCACTAGTACCTCCGAGCCTGTTTGTCGAGCCTGGGTGCCATTGTGCTTTCTTTTCTGGTACTCTTCGGAAAAAGAAAAAGAAAAAAAGAACAACGGAAAAAAAGGAACAACCCTAGGGACGTGAACGCAGCTGCATGCAGAATCTGGGGCACATTTGAGACTATGCCCTCCCAACGGGCAGTTACACCCCAGCTGTATTCACGGGATGAGCCAAATGCAAGGAATATCAGCGACAGCGATATACAGAAACCCAAGTTGCAAAACCATGCAGAAGTCCAGATAGTCATGTAACAAGCAGAGAGATCAAATGCACCAAGATTCCATTTAAATAAGGGCAATACAATGAACTCGTGAGCCAATGTTCAATCCCTCAGGCCACACCAACGCAGTATTCAATGTCACTCCTCCCTGTCTGGTGCCCAGCACCCAGCCTACTCTACCTGTCGTACCTATCCTACCTACGTTCATGCAACAGGCTCACTTCAACTTTGAAGACCAATATACATATTGTCAACACCAATGCCGACCTCCCACATACACCAGGTACGTACTCTCGCCTCCCCTCATCATCCCTTGACCACCCACTTCTGCGCCTCCTCCCGAAGACCCCCTGTCGCCCTTCTCTGCCTACACGCCCTGCAGCCCGGCTATGGCCGCTAGCGCCCCGCTGCCCTGCAGTGCCCAACACCTCTCAGCGCCCGCACGGGCCCTAGCCAGCAATGCGCATGCAGACGCTTGCGAGCGCAGCAGCGTGTCCGCATTGCCTGCCTAGGCCAGAATGCCCTCCCCTGGCCGGCTGGCTTCCTATATGGAAGTGGCAGCTGCTGCTGGACTCCCTGCGCCTGGCCG